ATGCAACGACGCCATTTTGTTATCGGATATAGTTTTTTTCCAGAAAATGCGTGCAGTGGCATTGGGTACTACAAAAACCCAAAGCATAAAATGGGTTGTTAACGCTGTGGCGTAGCTCTGTCCGTAATTGGAGTGGTTACCGGCCTTTGCGAAGCTGTCGATGATTAGAGAATTTTAACAATTCTCACCGACTCTCAACAACTTGCGGGCGGCGTTTTATCGTCATCGCCACTAGCGTCGTCTTTGCCAACGTTGCTGGATTACCTCAGTTGTGGAACTCCCGCGGAAGGGGATACCCCCCCTCACTCACTTCAATACGCCTGCCGTCGTTCGAAGCGCCATCTACGTTTTCGTTTCATAACTGTGCGTTCCATAGAGCTGCCAACGAGCTGCACAGAGCAGAGCTGAAACGCCATCTAGACGCCGTGCATCGAAACGTACGTATCCCATAGAATACACTGCAGTTACCAAAGCAGCCGCCGGGCCCGCGTCGAACGACGCCAGGCGAGTCGTGGTGAGTGAGGGAAGTACTGCTCGCGCATGCAGCCCCTATGAGCAGTTCCGTAACTGGGCTAATCTAATAACGGTAGCGTTTGCTGAAGAAATTGTTTTACATGTTCATCTGAAATAAATCGTGCATTCTGGTTCTGTGTTTGCAATACAAATAAAGCAATAAAGAAAACAAATGATGTGACGTCGGGCGATCTTTTTCAGGGATTTGACAACATTTACGACGGACATAAGCCCTATTACGCCAAATATATCAACAAGAATAACAACTTTGCCTGCTACAACATACAACTACGACTACAACAGCTACAGCCTCAACAACGATCGTGACTTCCAGAGGCGGGAAGAGCCCACAACAGCTATCGTTGTGAAAGGTGTATATCGGTAGAAATGAAAGGAGGGGCGGAGATGATACCGCACGGGGACGTCGCAATACCACGCTCTGGTTGCGATGATTTTTGGGTAGACGGGAAGCTAGCTGCCTTTATACTTACTCGCAGTTCGGTCGCGAACACCGAACAGCCGAAGCCGAAGTTCGATGTTAGAACGCCTTCGAAGACTGAGTAGAGACAAAGGCAGCTTCCCTTGCGTCTATACGGCTAACAATTCCAACCATGCAAAGTTCGGTTTTCTGACGTCTCTGCGAGCTTTACTCTCCTCCCCTTCCACAGTTTGCACCCGTATACGGCTGTTTCGGGATTGACAGGTAATTAATTATCTTTAGCATGAAATTTAAACAAAATTAATATAGGCTTTTAAAAACCTTATTTGGGCAGTAAAAATACAGTGTAGCCAAGTGGTTGTCGCCGGTTGTCCCATGTTTTAGGCCTAGTCAATCTGGCGACACTCCGCAGTGGCCGACAGACGCGGGCTGGTGACGCACTGATCTCTATTGTAGTAGGCTGGATCGCGGAACGCGGCCTCGGCAGCTGGGGCCGAGTGTCGCCACCGGCAGCCATTGATTGACACCAGCCAATGCATGGGACTCTATGGGAAGAACGAGAAAAAGTGACGTTTTCCCCCGTTTCTCAGCTGTTGTTGGCACTGAAACTTTTTGGATGCTTTTCGATAAGCCCGTCAAATAGTTTGCGTACAAACATTAAAACTGACAGCCCTCACAGTTCTTATAACTAAATATTTTGTGGTCAAGAGTGACTCCGCTGTAGTACAGCTCAATGAGGCGAGAGCTACCTAGAGTTACCGCGGAGTCGGTGGCGGTTTCGTTGAGTTGGGTTTAGCAGACGACAAGCTTGCTACGCGGAATTCACTCACTCCCGGAAAGCCGCTGTCGAGATTGAGCTTCTTTGTCATTCATTAACTTCTGGGCTTCCCTAAGGACGGTCTTATTGACGGCAAGTTCCTTTGTTTACTCCACTATGAGAGCAAGCTTGCCAGCTCAGCCGTAGGTGCTCCGGTACGTTTGATTTTTTTATTCGGCGACCGAACGTTTGACAAATACCGATTCGATCTCCAAACACCCGACATAAGGATCGCAGCGCACCATAAGATACTCGCGTCCGAGCACAGCGTACATGCTTCAATATACTCACTTTTGTGCGTTTCTCCCATAGACTTGCGTGTATTGCCTGGTGTCAAGCAATGGCCGCCGGTGGCGACACCGACGGGTTCCCGATCCGCGATCCAGCCTACTAAAATAGAGATCATTGGGTGCACGTCCCCATTAGAGCCACTAAATAAGCTACGCTTCAGAGTAACGACACTTCAGTCATCTTGGTAATTAGAGTCATGGTTGCCAGTTATCTGAAGCTTTATCTGAAATTGCAGGAAACGTTCCTCCATCCCTCAGAAATGTCAGAACAGTTCGCGACTGAGAAGAACGATATCACCAGAGCTTCCTAGCACCGTGTCTAAAGCTGAGGAAGTCGCACTTTTGAATTGTGACAATCAACAGTTGCCTCTGCTCTGCTCTAAGCTCGCAGATAGCTGCGCCCATTAGCAGATCGGGGAACGGTGTGCCCATACACTGAGCGTACCTCATATAATGGCTCTAGCACCCATGGGTTGCTTGCCCTTTCTCTTGTAAGGCGTGTGCTGACTCTTAGACACGCGGACGCCGACGGAGCGCGTGAAATACGCGCCCATCTGGTTCGCCTAAAAAAGCCCCCCCCCCCCCCAAAAAAAAAGTTTTTTTTTTTTTTTTAGCACAGTCTGGTTTCGGTGCGGGTCTTGATTTAAAGACCCGCAAGCAGCTTGCGGGTCTTTAAATCAAGACCCGCAAGCTGCTTGCCCAGGAACCCCCCGCTTCACGTTGCCATGAGTCCCTTTCCGACGCTATCACCCTAAAAGGAATATTTGCTTTATGAGTTTTGACAAAGAAAAACACTTCCAGGCTAAGCTTCTTGGAAGCCTGAACCCCCCTCGCCAGACTGTTCAATTCATCACTTTCACAAAGTTCCCTGCCCCGTCAGTCCATCTAACAAACAAGGAATTTCAATTCTTGCCGGAGAAGCCAGATTGGGTGTATAAATAGTGTGTGTTGTTTCAATAAACATTTAGTTAAAAGTAGCGCTTCGTGTTGTCTCCCTTACTCTGTCCCTGTCTTGTGGCGCATTTTGTCAAACGAAATTATGTACCAACTGGCCCATCTGTCACTATTGATTCTTTTCCTCGGTGGGGTCAGTGTCGTCGTCGTCGTGCGTCCTTTTTGCCACAGAGCTGCCTACCAAGGCGTCAGCGTCAGCCATAGGCACGTAGTCGGGCAGCCATTCACCGGCGTCGTCCCCAGCGGCAACCTCCGCACCAGGCGGTGCAAACGCCTCCGTCGATGGCAACTCCCGTTTTCCAGCTTGCTTCGTCTCATCCGCCCTGGGAGCCGCGTCTTTCGGGCACGAGGCCCCGCCGCCTTCGTGTGCAGGGGAGGCGCCCACCCCAGGACTATCGTTGCCCCGAGAACCCTTGGCGGCCTCCTCGGCCTCATCCTCATCGATCAAGAGCTCAGATTTCTCTAAGCCCCCCCACGGGCGCATCAGCCGCCGCGTGCGACCGGACGCACTGGGCGCCTTCATGGCCGAACCGGCGGCAGACGTTACACCTCGGGACACAGCGCTCCATGCGGATGTGTCCCGACCGCTGGTACCGGAGACAGAGTGGTGCCCTGCAAGGGACGACGACGAGGGCCAACTCGCCGCCCACACGAAGCTGGTGCGGGATGTCGTCCAGGGTGATGCCCGCCTTAAGTCGAAGCACCGCTGTGCGGGTCACGGTGCCGACGCTCTGGCAGCCGTCGACGCGCCACTTCTCCCTGGCCACCTCGGTGACCTTGCAGTACGGCGCCAGTGCCACCTTCACTCACATCGTCGTCCGCCACGTTGAAGAGAAGCCAGTACAGCTTGACATGTATAGGATCGACGACGACGCAACGGCGACCCTTGACCGTCAGCTCCGGCGTTTCAAGGATTTTCTTCTTTCCCACGGCAGACTTGGAGGTTACCGCCCACACGTGGTTCATCTGGTACGCCCCGAGGGCAGAGACCTCAGGGAGCGCACCCAGACGAACCAAGGCGTCGCGGAAATCTTCGACGCGGTGCGGCCACCCTTTCATATCCGCATGCAAAAAGGCGGTTTTTAAAACAACTGACCCAGTCGGCAGGGGAGGCAGCATGACCTGGTAATCTTCATTATCGGTAGCCCTGATACCGCGGCCGGCGCGGGCCGCTGACACCGCTCCTTCGGAGCCAGACCTTCCACGTCCGTGCGCTTGGGCGGCCGAAAGTGGAATCAGGCCACGCAAGGCACGCTTGTGCGACTTTGGAACCAGCGGGAGTTTATATGTTGATATGTGGCACTCGCGTTCCACTCTTAAAGTCGAAGCTTAAGCGTCCTCCACCATCTTTACAAGTACGTTGAACCTCAGTTTTACGTTAGAACGAAAGTACTGAAATGCGCGAGAGCTTAAATGTCATCGTAATCTTTCTTTCTGTTAACGTATCGGCGAGACCGAAAAGTACTATAAAGCAGTTACCGTATTAGAAAATAGGAGGGTTCTCTAGATCCTGTTGATGTCTGTATACCATATGAGGTATACTTAAAAAAGTCCATTCTAATTTTCATGGCCAACTTTAGGGGACATTCCATCGAATAAAAAAGTGTTCAATGAAATATACATTTAACTCATTTGTGTTCTATATGATACCCATAAAATGAGTCCTCGTGAACATTACATCTTTTGTCAAGAAAAAGCAGAGCAATTTTGTGAATGTGACCCATAGGAGTCAATGCAAAATTAAGTTATAGTCGTGCAAAAAATAAAAAAAATATATATATATATATATATATATTTGTTTAAAATTCTCATTAATATTTATTTATATTTCTACGAGAACATTGCGATGTTTTGGGGTTGTTGAGCTGAAATTCTCATCTTTGTGCATGCACCGAAGCGTTGATGTCCAAGAAAGTTTTGGATGATTGAAACTTTATTTTGATATGCCCACTCACAGGCATCGCGCGCAATTTTTAAACATATATTTCTACCCAGTCCACATATTTTCAAAGGTAAAATCGACCATTTCGGCGAAAGGTGCAGGAAGTTTGTTTGGAAGGTCGTCCAAATCAGCGTTCACACATTTACCGTTGTAGTTACATCTCTGAAAAACACAGAGCACAATAGTTGAGATAATTGTTGGTGTCAATGTGCCGGAGAGAGGGTTAAAGAGTAGCGGAACGCAGGTTCGTCTGCTTCTTGCACATTGGTTGCGATGATGATATCAGAACGCCGAGCTCCTTATTGGCTAATTGAAAAACAAAACAGTGGGTAAACCTCAAGGCATCTAGCATTGAGGTGCACCCCCTATTCTTTTAATCAAAGCCAATCAGAGCTCAGCGTCGTACTGACGTCACCGCGACTCCCGTGAAAAAAGTAGACGACTTGCTTTCCGCATAGCTTTAGGTTGTTATATGCTTAATAAATTGAAATAAAAAGATGAAAACTTTAATTTACTAATCGCCTTTGCCTTCCATTGTATGCAATATAATAAATATCTGCCGAGTAATAGACGCTTCGTTCAGGAACGGGACCCTGATGATACTTTGCCACATATCTAATATATCGGATGCTTGGTAGAATTTAGAATTCGTGTCTTTCTCACCGCTAAAATAAACTGACAACTACTGATAGTCCAGCCGATTCCCAACTGTAGGTCTGGCGATTGGAACTGCAATGTTTTCATCAAAAACTTACAAGCATTGAACTTCACTCTTCAATAAGCTTTGAAACTTTGACATCTGGTCCAAACCGTTAGATCTATTTATGGGCGGAGGCTGAGCGTTCGGTGATCCGTAGTTAATTTTTCCGGTTAGGAGAACACACAGCTGGCTGTCAGAGACGTCGCCGTGATAAGCCAGCATCGGGTCAAGGGCTCATCGTTCTAGCTGGAGGCTAAAGACTAGCTACAAGGTTTTAATTTGAGGTTTTGATGCAACAGCTAGAGATACGGAAACCCGATGCCTGTTTTTATTGAGTAGGCATAGGAGGATCTTTATTAACACTATTTACTGTAAGAAACTTTTATCAACTCTTAAAAGTATTTGTAATAGTTTTGTAATCCTCACACCTAAGGGAGGTTAGGTAGACAAAAACGGAACATTCCAGGTGATTTTAATTGATCGTATATATAATAATATCCTGGAATGAACTTGGTTCTCGGTTGTTTATATTAAATAGATTATGTGTAAAATATACTTACCATCCTGTGCGAACAGGGTTGTCGATTCCAGGCATCCTTCACTGTGTAAGTGAAACTATTCCTACCGCGAGTTATGCAACATATTTCGCAATCACGAGGATGAAGGCTGAACTGCAAAAAAAAAAAAAGACAACAAAAAACAAAAAGAAAACAATCGCGGTCATTATATTATTCGTTTCCTTAAACAGTATTTTGGGCAGTCTATAAAAATCCTACCGCCGTTTTAACGACATTTTAACTGCTTATCCAGTCACGTCGCATCGACTATTATAATTGAACTTCTATTAACCTTCTTTCACCCGAAAATTATAGAGTGTAGACAACAGATATATTACAGAATTTATATCGCCTCGTCTCAACATACTTTCTGTCATCATATTTCTATAGAATGCATATAGACTATACTTGATAGAATAATAAGATAGAGCGCCAAGAAGTGATATCACACCCAGCAGGAACCTCCCCCTTAAGGGGCTGCTTTTTTCGACTCGTCATAAAACTGTCACGTTCATAGTTCTTCATAGTTGGATATACAGTTCACCAACATTTCGAAACCACATTCCTTATAAATTATCGGTAGGAAAAAGCAACATACTTGCACATCTCCTAGTGTGGTCCTTATTCTGATGATTGCCTTTTAAAACCAGGGTATAAATGGAATGGAGCACTCACAACTACTGAACCTACCAGTGTTGTGAGTGCCTTGTGGCATGTGTATTTGTGATGTTTGCGTATGGGCATAAGGCAAGTGGCGAGTGCATGTTCCCATGTATTTCCATGTATATATTGTGACCAATCTAAAATTAATGTCTAAGGTTTACAAATTTATCACGAACAACATGCTATTTTCTATACAAAGCGGATAAAAACGTTGTTAAAATCTCTACGTTTTCTACAATTTTCAAGCTATTTCGTCAGATCTCTCTCTATACGCCAAGTTCTATAGAGAATCTAGAGAAGCAACGACGGGAATGCTATATAGACAGTGGATACATGTAGTTTAAAATTTATATAGCCTCTAAATACTAGTTTCAATATAAAGTCTGTAGAATGTAAATAAAGAATTTTAAGGGGTACTATAAGTTGATTTAAGGAACATGAAACTTAAGGGGGATTTACAGTGGCGTTTTAACGGCGTCTGTTGGTCATTAAACTGCATCTATCAATTATTCATTTTGTAAGCAACCTTTCCAAGTAAAAGTTTAGGCTAGCAGCTCTGAAATGTTTTATATAGACCGTTCATCTCAGTAGTGTCCCAACCGGAAAATGGGGGCGCTGGCGCACTCGCCGCTACCGGAGTGCTTGAATTTGGTTGGTTTCGGTTTCAGCGCGCTCGCAGCTGTGTCTATGTTTTGTCTCATTTTCACCTAATTTTGTGATACAAATTTCTCCGCCAACTTCAGAGCCGTGAAGTGGCTTCGTCATAATTGCGGTCTTCTTTACAAACACTTTACGATGCATCTGGTCATGTTCGTCCTAAATGTTTTTTAGGTTCGGAGGCGAAACAATATATGATACACTAGGAGCATTTCCATCGTCTACAGTGGTACCCATTGACCGTAGTTTGCAGAATAAATATACCAATGAAGACTAAATATGTAGGTAAAACAGCGCAGAACGACATAGAAGGAAGAAACAACCAAGACGGGACAGGCGCTGTACCGTCTTGTTTGTTCTTTCCTTCTTGTGTTTGTCGTTCTTGCGTTTGAACACCAGCTCATTCTTCGCCCCCGGAAGAAAAACAAAATTTCTTCGGGGGGAAGGGGGGGGGGGGGGGAGGACACGCACTTTGTTCATTAACATAAAAAACTCCGTAATGCGCTCAACGATCACTAAACTTGCCTATCCGCGGAAGTTTGCTCTTTTTAATTTCTAGGCTTGCGTATCTGGCAAAACTATTATAGTTTTTGATATAGCTTGAGAAACGTTGGGAGTGAATTGTTACATCCCCACCTTTGGCCTCGAAATTTGTTGTGAGGTATTCTGTACGGCTCATTCGGCAAAATTATTGACTTCAGAGCGATAAAAAAAAGACATCAACAGAGACCCTTAAGATTGCTTATATGTAGAAATGCGAAATCATTCCTACACACACCGCATTCCTACAAGCAACACGCCACGTCTTCCTTTTTCCCAAGGCGCTCCTGCTTTGACGTCAGGCTCCCCTACTGCGCAAGCGCGGCGAACCCCGCCGGCTTCACGACGGCATCCGTGACAAAGCATCTGCGTTGCTGTGTTTTTATTTGTGTTTTATTTCTGAGGCGCGTCCGCTTTGACCTTGAGCGCCCCCGCCGCCTTCTGTGACGAAGCATCTGCGCGGCTGTGCTTTTCTTTGTGTTTTATTTCTGAAGCGCGTCCGCGCTGACCTTGAGCGGGGCGTGCTCAATGATGTATTATTATGACCATCTTTCAAGCAGAACGTTGACACCCTTTCTCGTAATGAGGCAGGTAATTAGGCTTTGGATTTAATAAGATCCTCGGGATTCATGACGCCCTGTAGTTCCAAGCTGACAGCGACTATAGCAGTTTCTTTAGAAAGGGCGCGTAGGAATTAAGGAAGCAAATCTGCTCGCCTCGGGCAGTTTAATAATCGTCGAGCTCAGAACAGTATTTTTACATTAATATAATATGAAACAACAAGAGTCAGATAAAATGGTCAGTGTTTTTTTCACTTTTATTGATTTCTTTATCATTTTTATTGAAGTGCTAATTGATTCTACTTTAGAATGTACTAAAGTCGTTTACGGCCGTATTATTTTTAGAAATTAAAAATACTGATGAATATAAAGTGAATTGAATTGTTCAATGATGCGCTACGTCTAGATAAAAATACAACAAAAAAGTACCGTACATACCACGAAGGCAACGAATGTGCGAGTAGTGCCTATGTTGTCGGTCAGCGATACATTTAGATGAGTTATTTTCTAGGGAACACTCTAGATACGAACACGCAATATGTTCAGAGGTACTAGTATGATAACGCTACAAAACAGCAGCGAAAGGTAGAATGAACAACAAGGCTGGCGGGGTTGTACCCTGCTGCGTAGCAGTAGTGTGTCCTACCAACTCACCAATATGCCCGCGGAAGGGCTATGTTATCAAGGTTGGTAACGGTCGTGTGCCTTGACAGTCTCTAATTTGGCGCAATAAAGAGGCGGCTTTATTTCTACAGGCGCACATTGCAGTTGCCGTAAAAGGTAACCGTACATTACAATATAGTGTATTCGCTGGATATATTACATTGACCACAAAAGACATGTCGCACAATGCAAGGACTAGAAATTATAACAATCGGTTTGATCAAAAACATATTTGTACTTCACCGTTCCCATTACTGGTTGAGGGATTTCCGGCGGTTTCCTCTCGCAATATTGCGAAAGGAGCTCAAACCAGGGGTTCTTTGGATCGCTTGTTTTAAATGTATGTCTTGTCACCTGTGGGCAGTGCGGATGCTTGTGGACCTTGGTAGATGGATCTAAGTGAAAAAAAAATATTCTGAACTGTATACGTATATCGTTGCCCAATGGTCACTAGGGAGAATGCAGGACATTCCACTCATTTGCATTAGACAGAGCGATTGGAGCGCCGAAGCCTCATCTTGTGGCTTGGCTGCTCCAGTCGCAACGGCCACTGACTTCTCTCTGCCATTTCGGACCGCCTCCTCTCCCAATAGGGAGCTTGTAGATCGTTTTCGCCGTCCCGCAACGCTCTCCGCAACCCGCTACGATACACCTTTACAAAAACACCTCGTAGGTCGCCGCCATGTTGCTGATGCGGATGCGGCTGGTGCGACTCTCGGGCCCTCTATCAGCTAGAAATTTTCTGCTACTCTCTTGGACTGTGAAGACCCGCTCCGCGCGATTCTCTACCCATGTTTTTGCGGTTCTGCGTTCAACGTTTTTTTGGCGCTTCTTGAAACTTTCCACCTAATTTTGCTGATGCATGCTACGTACCCTTTCTGTGTTATCTTCCACTGTGAGAAATAGGGCTGTTAAGTGCTGTCATTAACGGAAAGCAAAGGAGAGGAAGGACGTCGAACGACCCTCGACGCGATTTTGCGAACATTGTTCTCCCCCCTCCCAGAGATAATCCGCGTAGAATCCTCAGTGATCTCCAGAAATAGTTGTCCGGGTTGGGGTGGGAAACGGGTCAGTCGCGTTCGTTCCTTTGTCTCGGTGCGGTTGCGAAAAAAGGAAGCTCTCCCCAAAACGTGCCCCAAAAAAAAGTCACCTTGGATTCCGCCTGATCGTCAAGATGTGACTGTCGTCGACTGTGACTGTGTTATTTGAGATCTTTCTCAAATAAATTTTTTTCAGAAAACGCTGCATCGTGTGGTATGTGCAATATATTGTTCGAATATTAACACTTGCTAAATTGACCTTTTTCATAGTTTGGCCACGATCGTGGCGCGCCCTCGCGGTAATCGGTAGAAACATTTTTGGTGGCTCCGGGACCATCTCTCATCCGTCCGCGGCAGAGGTGGCGTATCTCCCGGTCTATGTGTTTGTTTACGTGTGTTCTCTGGTGGCGTTGTTCCGTCTTTCACCATTCTGAAAGTGTCTTGCCGTCGTCGTTTCGCGTTCATATTATCTTCGAAATGGCTGAGGACGACCCTGGAAAATTAATAAAAGCCGCTGTCTACGATACTGAGGACCTCGTTCGTTTTTATACCTTCAAGGATGGACAGACCGCCGACGCTGCATCGTTCCTATCATCAACTCGGAGTCACTTAATCGTCACTTAGGTGTCGAGTCTTCCAAGCAACTAAAAAAGGGGTCTGCTTTCAAGGCAGAGCCGCAGAGTGTTATGTAAGGAAGGTAATGGTGAACAGTTTCGATACCGACCCAACCATCCACCTTGTGCGGAGCTTGTGAGTTCCGTTTATAAAACTTGGCCACTACAAACAGCTGATTTTTCTACTTGATCGGTTGTTATTCAAGCTTATTGCGCCCGTCACTTCGTCGTCCTGTGTACCGCGCGAACGCACGGGGGGATTGTGTAAACAAACTTGGAAGGTGTGAAATCCGGGCGGTCTTGATATCGCGAGGGCTTGCCTGCACCGTAAATATTAAGGAACGGTATGTTAGAAACAATCTCTATTTAAATTCGGTACGTTGCGAACGTTCGACAAAGTGAGCCCAGCAAACAGGGTAGTTCACAGTTGGTTGCCAAGGCATTCCACCAGGGTTCTGTTTCTGTAAGACTTAAATTTGTTTCACACGCTTTAAATGTTTTGCCAGTGACTGATATATATTTTACATTTTTTTCTGCTCTTTTAACGTGGCAAGACGCGAATGTGTATAGCGCACGCCTCAACGACAAAAAACTTTATCCTGTTATTCTTTACTTGAGTACCTGGTACGGCATGCTTACGTCACATAACCTCGCGTGCACATTTACTATTAATGGAAATATAGCCAGAGTGTAGGCGAGCTGGTGTAAGTTGAACATGATGGTAAACTTGATATACGAAAAGGACAAAACATCGAGGACAGGGACGGAAAGAGGACTTCTCTCAAGAAGTCCCTTTTCCTTCAATTTTTATCCTTTCATGTATCCGTATCTATTCACCAACTCGCCCGTTTTCAATTATTAAACCTGAGACTGGGGTAGGAAATGGAAAACGCAAAGGAAAAACAGGCAACGTCTCAAGAGACGTTCCCTGTTATTTTTTTCTCCTTTTGCGTTTTCGTTCTCCTAGCCCAGTTTCCGGTTTACCATCATGTTCACTTTTACTGTCTTTTAGTTAAAAGCAGAATGTCCCGCCGTCACGTTGATGACCCGGCCACCTGACAGGGGGGATTCGCGTCATAGGCTTTTGAAAGCAGAGCAAAAAGGGCGGGGTGTTTGACATCTAGCGCTTTCGTGAAAAATCCGCAAAAGGCTGCTGAAACTACATAAAGGCTTCCATTTGAACCATTTTTGCTTTTATTTGTGATACCTACAGCTGCGCGGTGGTGAGGCGCAACGACTATGAAGCCAAGCCGCGAGAATAGCGGAGGAGTCAAACATCCGCCCGTCGTCCGCTCGGTCTGAGCGACCGAGCGGACGAGAGAGCCACCAAAAATGGCGCCTTTTCCTTTCCTCCTCTCTCTCAGAGTCGGCGCATGCACCCAGCAATCTCTGAAAAAGGTCAATTATATGTCCGTGTCCTGTCCATCGGTAAACACGTTATTTGTGAGCGTGAAAAATGCATGCTTTTCGTCTCTCTTCTGTTGTAATTTATTTTTGCTTTATTGTTTGACACGCGGTTACTCGTACGGCGTCGTCAAAGCTTCCGTAAAAAAGAAACGACTAGTAACATTTGAATCGGATTTGTTTTGTCGCGCGCGCACCCAACAAAAGTAAGTTGCAGTTCTTTTTGCATTTTTTATTTATTTTTTTCAAATCTAGTAAATTGTTTTTTCAATGTCCCGAGGAAGCTAGATACACCATGAAACACAAAATACAGCGAGAAAGGCGAGAATTCAGCCCTCCAGCAGTGTTTGCAACTGCGCTCACGCAGGCTGCGCCTATCGAAATCACAGTCCACTCGGTTAGGGTTAGGAGGGACGCCGGTGACAGTCTAGCCCAAAATCCAGTGACTGGGCTCGAAAACGGTTTGTTGCCCCTGGGGTCGGTTGTTTCTTGGAAAGGTGTATATTCACCACTCTACACTCAAGGCCATCGGCGCGCAGCCGCATTAGCAGCTTCTTCGTTGCGCAGGGCTTAGCGGAGAGGGAAACGCGGTCCACGAAACCTTCCTAATATCCCTCTCTCCGGTTCACGGGGGCGCCTGGATTTGAGAAAGCCAAGGAACACGGACGGAAGTAGCAAACGCGATCCAATGCAAATAACACCGGCGAAAACGGAAAGCATATGACAACAGTGTAACCTGGTGATGACTTGATAACTCTTCAGACCGTCGGGTGCTCTTGCGACTGTCAGATTACCGTATACATAGATGTTTACCTGCCTGCTAAAGCGCTGTTATACAGCATGATTACGGCTAATCAAACTCATCTACATCATTTTGATAATTAACGTCTACAGCTGCTTCAGAGCTACTTGATGAAATTTCAAAAAACCGCTTGAGAGGGTTTTCGAAATTTCAGTTACCGCTTATTAAATCGGTTACAAGTTGCCCGTGCTAGTTGCAGATGCCATGCCCAGTTCAAAGTTGATGCAACCAAACCAGATATTAAGCGCATGCTTCTTATATATACCTGGTAATTCAATAAAATGTTATTTTTAAATTTATTTTACATTAAAAAAAAGGAACATCGCGCTACGACCGAACAGCGCGCGTACCAAATACGCGGCAGTTAAAGACGTCAAACCGATCGAAGACGCCAACCGGCCTATTAAAAGATAAAAACCACGACGCCGTGACACACCCAGCCATTCAAACGTCACAGATCATGTCCGCGCCGAGGCAATTGTGTTCACGAGAAGTAACCTGTATCTCGCCCAGTAAAGTATTCGGTGCATACATGCCGAGAAACTGAGCGAGAAAAGGCAAGAGCGCGCGGGGGAGGTCAGAAGGCCCAGCTCTGCTTGGATTGATTAGTGGATAGATCTAAAGCTAGCAGCCTTTGTCTCCACTGCACTCCTACAACGCGTTAGAACGCGGAACTCATGCCTCCGACATTTGGATTTCGTTTCTGAACGCATTCGGTGAATGCAGTGGAGACAAAGGCAGCCTTTGTCTCCACTGCGCACGTCGACCGCTTTACGACGCGGAGCCCCGGCGCCCTGCGTTTGGTTTTTTCATTCGAAAGCATTCGACGAGTGCAGTGGAGACATTCGAACGAGAACTCAGCGTTTTGGCGTCCTTTGCGCGCTCTCGTCTTCTCCTCTTCCTCAGTTTCTCGGCACATTGTTCGCGCCTGATATTCAAAATTAGTAGCCTTCGATGTGGGTCGTAATTTCACTGCGTCCTACTTAGCAGGGGTAGGTTAGCTTTGTTTCGCGAATGATAGTTATTCGTACTCTCAGTGTCATAGTTCAGGCGCTCTTAAACACATTAAAAATGCCCCTTACGGCGGATTCTTTTTTTACAGATTGTGATTATTTTTTGTTTTGTTTTCACAGGACATTTTGTCAGATCTCAGGCTATGGTGTGATAGTAATATGAATGGCTGCGAACATATAGACAGTTTGAAATTTCGTGTCTTGATTTGAAATGGGCCGCAAAAAATCGGCGCCTGCAAGTAGCAATTTAAACTTTTTGTCAAATGTGTATTTCACAGGTGGGTTTTACGTTGTAATATTGCAAGGCGTAGCTGCCTTCCTATACAGAATAGGGCCAGAAAACTTGCCAGGCTCAACGGCGGACGGCGACACAGACGGCCGAGTGGACTGGCGGAGAGCGTTTTGCGCGCCTATTGACAGATGGCCTCAGCCCCTTCATGCGGCTTGCTTACAAAAAAAAAAAAAAAAAAATTCGGGAATTGCTTGTTACGATTGTGGCCTGCTAAAATGAACATAGTCGTTTTGTAATGTGCATTTGGTCTAACAATAAATGCGGTCAGTGATATCAACACTGAAAGTAAAAATAATAGAAAATGCGGTTTAACAACGAGGTGCCGTTGCTGCCGACGGATTTCGTCTGCGTGTCGTCTGCTTTCTTTCGCTGGTCGGCTACACCTTCTGACGCTGCTCCTGACGCCATCTACCAATACCTGCGCCAAACGCGTGCCCCCCCCCCCCCCTTTCTCGTCACTTGGCTGACTCGGTCGTCTGCGTTGCCACCCGCCGTTGACCCTGGCAAGTTGTAAATGAGAGGGCATCAACTGTCCCATGGAGGAAGCCGGCGTTATTATTTTCTGTATTAGCGAAAAACGGCACCTGAATTCTTATTGGCTGAGCGGAACGGCGCCTAAATTCCCTTTCCGCATGAAATACGAAGACAAGCACAGTAACGCATTTATTGAAAAGTTCTAACACCAACCAAGCCCTTCTATAGGGTCCCATATAAAGTCTTGGTGTTTGAACTTTTTATTAATTAATTACCCCCAACCAGAGAGATCTATGTAAATGTTTACTTTTAAGTAACGCATTTGCTTCGTCACGGAAGCCGACAGGTGCGTTCAACGTCAAAGCGGACGCGCCTCAGAAATAAAACATAAAGAAAAGCACAGCAACGCAGATGCATCGTCACGGAAGCCGTGTTGAAGCCGGCGGGGTACGCCGCGCATGCGCAGTTGGGGAGCATGATGTTACCGCCGGAGCGCAATGTGCGAAAGGGAGACGGGGCGCGCTGCTTGTAGGAATGCGCTGCGTGTAGGAGTGCTTTCGAACTCCTACACTTAAGCAGTTTTAAGTTTCCCTGCCAAATATGTTTGGCCCTATTTTCTTGAGAAATTTTCAATTATAACTCATACGGAACTTGCTCGACTGGCTACAAGCTATTCTCTTTATTTATGGTCACTGCACCAACGTTAGCTGTACAATATCTTTCATTTTTGAGCCATTTCGCGCATTCGACAAACAAGTCGTCCGAAGTACAATAGCCACCAGTGATCACAAAAAATTTTATGCATTTGCAAATTTAGAAAAACACCGCGCCCGTCATTTTCTTCACAAAAATATGCAACGATTCGCCGAAAGCTGAGACGTGGTGCCAGCATGTAGTATATATTACTAGTTGTTGGTATCAAACTTCAACATTTTGGAACTAAACGTTAGTTCATTTAGGAATCTAAAGGATCTTTAAGCAAAATATTGATAACAAAAGGACCCTCAGTTTTGACAAAACATATTATTTATAGTCATGTAATCGCGGGCTCAAATGGACCCCATTTTCTCCTTCAAAAGTTTGGAAACATATCTCTAATGATTTTTATTACATATACATTTATAACGTTAAGTTTCAAAACATTAGCATGTTATTCCAATTGCAAGAGCTACATTTGGTGCCCACTCCAAAACCAAAGGTGCGCGAAAGAGGATTCGCTATTTTCAAGAGACGCAATTCGAGTCGGAAATAAGCGGGATAGAAATATTGAGCATATTAGAAGAGATCAGAAATGTAGAGACTAAAGTTGAACTGTATGTTGTCCTCACTACTGTCTATATATTTCATCCTTAGCGCATGGCATTGCCGAACTGTTGAATGGAATGCACTTGGGTGTACCAGCATATTCTTAAATATAACCTTCATGCACTTTCTTGTCGAAGGATTGACGAGGCATTATTTTGAAACTTGTATAGAGTTCCCGTTCCAAATGTAACAAAACATGTCGAAGCAAAAAAAAAAAAAAAAAAAAAACCTTAAGAAACTAGATTTTTATATAGTATACACACTTTCGAAATCTTTCGAATAACGCCAGCTAACTTGTATAATGATTGATGATATATGTGCATTATTTAGAACACTCACCTGACCGATTCCGACGCGGGACTTTCGATGCATTCTGCAATAGCTCTTTGATCCAGTCTGTAAATTATAAGAATATTTTTTTTCTCTGAACTGAGGCCCCACAATAGTTGTCCGCATTTTAAAAAGTCCAAATTCAATGAACGTTTACAAGCACAAACAGTCTGTGTTAATGTGGTTAAATATAAAAATATATTCTTTGTTTTCGCCGCGGGGTGCCCAAAGTAGAACATTTTGTAAATAACCTAGGATGCTTATTCTGGCTTCCCATTTGATACTGCTCTCGGACTGAAATTCACCCTGTTCGAAAGCGCGAATAATTATTTAGTTATATATCACACACTAATTTCAAGCACGTATTTGCATGCAGGAAATTATTTATAGTTATGGACTGAAATTTCCCTAATTTCAATAAACCCCCACCGATATTACATTCCCGAAGCAATTGTTCATGACTGTCTAGAATATTGGTAAACATGACTATTTTATAGAAGCGACTAAGACAACCTTGCTTGCCTTTGAGTTTTACTGCTGGGTGACCTAAGAAAATATATGATTTTTAGAGCCAGTGTTGTATGAAGTTGAACGGAAAAGTATAGTTTTACGGTGATTAGACCTGAATCGACATGACAAGCGAATGCCTATCTATATATATACAGGGTGTTCTTTTTTTAAGCTTAACAAATTTGTCTAAAACAACCCGTGAAATTTACCCTTATGCCGCTTGTAAAGGTGAGTTATACGGCCAGGGGGACATATTATAGGGCGTGAATCGTAACGACCAGTCGTCTAGTTAATTAAAATTCGTTAATTAACTTTTTAATTAATGAAAATAGACGTATGGTTTGAATTAGAAATTTGCTCAGCGTCATCGAAAACCACTCAATCAGTCATTTTCAGAAAGACTTTCGGCGCGTGAGAACCGTAGTATTGTACTGAAGTTACCACTCGTGGAGCAGGTACAAGGCTGGGGCTAGATGAGAGACGGAAAAATCGCGCGGGCGCCTTATCGCAACATCTAGCTTTGTACCTGCTCCACGAGTGGTAACTTTACTGCACTACTACGCTTCTCACGCGCTCAAAGTCTTTCTGAAAATGACTGATTTAGTGGTTTTCAATGACGCTGAGGAAGTTTCTAAATGGAATTATATGTCTATTTTCATTAATCAAAAAGTTAATTAAGGAATTTTAACTAATTAGTCCACTGATCGTTACGATTAGACCCCTATAATATGTTCCCCTGGCCGTATAACTCACATCCACAAGAGGCATAAGTGTAACTTTCACGGCTTTTTTTTAAACAAATCTGTTAAGCTTAAAAGAAAACGCCTGATATATATATATATATATATATATATATATATATATATAAAGTATTCAAGTAAATTGTAATGCAGACGTACTCCAATAGCTTCAGGGTTTTTAAGTCCTCTGCAGTTTCAAGCACAATGTTCGCCCTCATCTGGTTTACCGATAATAACATTTTTGAAATACTGCATAAATGTTCGGTGCCTTTAAATCTAAAACAGCATATGTTGTAAAACATTATTTGTGTTGGTATATTTGGATAAAACCCACAAAACGTACTGGACTGCCTCTTGTACACCACCATTAAACAAACAAAAATAAAACTTTAATTACTTTTTTAACGTGTAGCTCACCAAACCTACAGCTGTGAAGATAATTGATGCAGAAATGATTTTATGTCCTCTTTATATTTTTCCTTTTTTAGTGCTTCGACGAGATGCTCGTTGTGACAAAGCCACAAATACAAAGTTTTTTCGGTGGACATTATGGTCACTATAAATTCTCATATTTTAAGCATATCGGCTACATGCTGAAAGCAGAACAAAACTTTGGCATATTTGACGGTCTATCAGAAAAACTATGTGAACATTTCAAGATGTCAATTCACTTTGTGTGGCACTAATTAAATACCCTTGTTGAATTTGGGGTTTAATTATTCATATTAATTATCGGTGACCCTCTTTGCGTGTTTGTGAACACTATAACAAGACTCTTGGAGCACGGAATCAAAATTTGCTTCCGAAAAAACATCATGGTTCCATGCATGCTCTCTGCAAGCAAATATATTTACAAATGAAACATGCGTAAAATGCAGTTACCGAACAACAAAAACGAAAAGGGGGTATTTTTTGAACTAATGCTGGTATGGCCGAAATTGAGAGAGGGGGCGGGGGGAGGAGGGGAGGGGTCTAAAATTCCAAAGAACGCTCCTCGAATTTTCCAGTGCACTGTCATCTCTGGTTTAACAATGCAAAGAAATACAGTATGTAGTGACTCTTCGTTGTATAATGGCGAAGGTTATGAATAAAGTAGCGTTATTTGATTTGAACCACCATTCTACGTGACGCAGGCCATGCCTGCGATCAGATACTGATCATAATTTTTTAATTGCCCATCTGAAGCTGAGTCTCACATCACACACTTTATCTCTAGGTATAAACACGTTTTCGCGCACATCATTCGCCCAGCTCTCTTCGTAGATTGCGGCTATCGGTTTTCCGAGTGTCCTGAGTCGACACTCGTCAACATTTTTAAGAGCGAAATATGAAATTGAACCAAACTCTTGATAGGTCTCACAAAAATGGTCAAACCATTATGTTCTAACGTCTCCATATCTTAACTCTTACGACATTACGTTTCTGTCGTGTCTTGAAGATAGAACATTTTGCGAGAGGTTCATCAGGAAAAACGAGGACACATATTTTTTTTCGGGACACATTTCTTGTGCGGGACATTATAGCCTTTTGCAACATTAGACCTGAGGTAAAGGGTCCGCCTCAAAATGCCACAAAAAGTAACAAAGTCTTAACATCACTCAGCACCAACGCGCCATTTTTAACACGACGGAAATGAAGGGCCATTGTTAGATCCTTTTTTTTTTTAATCTACTGTAGACAACTTAAGTTGTATACAGACAACTTAAGAGACGCTTGGCGTGGCTTATTATCTTGACATTTGTTTCCTCGTGGTTCGCTCTATGGGATCTTATCGACGAATACCGCACTCTCACTGGCTGTGGATCAATAATAAAATGCACAGAACTCGCTTCGGCATACGTTTCTAACTATCAAATCAAGAAATCTATTTTTGCAATTTATTTCGATAGGCTTAACTTTATTTAACTGTTACAGTATGTAATCAAACTGAAAATGACGTCAACATTTTGATTATTCCTAGTAAATAATAAACACATAATGTATTAGTTCTGATGCTACTGAATTGTATATTTGGTTTACGTCAGGTCGTATGAAGAGTGCTGTATTAGTTTTTTTTTTTTGTTCTCTATTTTTTTCACATTCACAAAGCAAATATTTAACTGAATTCACTGATACACCAGACTCCGAAGTGTTGACCACAGTTCCACGCGGTCTTTGATTTGTAAATTGTGAAAACGTTAAGTCTAAAAGAAGCGTATGAACGCCAACATGCCCTGCTCAAGATATTATTTTGTTTGAAATTATTAAGTTGAAGGCGCCGTGAGATTACGATTGGTCAGCCGTGCCGACAGGAGTCGCCCCCGTACCTGAACGGTTGTTCCTGATGTCGTCCGGTGGATACTGGGAGACACTTGGCTCGGGAGCTGCATGAGGCATGATACATTAACAAATTATAAACACAGTTTTAGATAATTATCTACAATTATAATGACAGATGAGAGGAATGGTTAACAGGAATTGAAGGAAACATAAACATCTTATGGAACATATCGCTTATAAACTCGTTACAACATTAAAATGTCGTGATGTAGTTTCACCAGTGTTTAATTTAAGTTTCAGTGAGCTGCATATTTAAAGAGTGAATATTTCATTGACATATTAGGCATCATGTAGCCTTTTCCACTTCAAAACGTTTTGACCGATTTTTGGGTTCTAAGATTTTTTTTATTTTTAATTAAATTCTCATTAATCTCTTTTTTTTTGCGCCACTACTGCTCATTGTTAATATCATCGAAGGCGTCATATGTCAGTCGAAGACATACGGAGCCTGTTTTATTCAGCTGCCGGTTTTTGATGCAATTAATCATGCAATGTTGCCGGTGACTTCCAAAACGAGCTCTGACATGGTGAAAAAAAAATTTGACCTTCAGACTCTCAGCACCTTAAACCTTTCAACCGATCCGTTATTCAGTTTTTCTCTCTCCATATCGTTTAACTCTTTTAGTTCATCAGCCACTTTTTGTCCTAAGTGTAGATAAGAGAACGAATTTACTGTTGCTAACTGGAGGCGTTGTCATCATTTTATATAACTTTATTTTATATGAATACGTTTGTCGTATTATTCCACACTTAAATACTTCAGATGAAATGATAATGGGATAAACGGTAGCGTTTTACACTATCATTTTCGGTTGTCTTTCAGTACGATCTCTAGGGTAGACTGAAACATTACCTTAAAAAACTGATTGATAGTATCTCCTTGACAATCCTTGCATTACAGTATGAAACAATATCATATGGATTGCATAAATAATACAAATTTGTCAATATATTTGTCAGTATCAAGAAAAAATACGCTTTCCCTACTGTCAGAAAATTGTACCAATTAAAATGCGATCTTACCTACGAAGATTTGCCAGCTCAGTAGGACACCCATGATAATATCCAAAAGCATTTCTGAAGTGAAGTGTTTTTTTTCTGAAATAGTGACAAAAACAAATTAGGTCGGCACTCGTCACCGATATATAATGTCACGGATGAATCCTAGCTTTACCGGGTCTTCATTGACCTTGAATATTTTTCCTGGTGAAATTTTATGGCCGATCTATACTTCCTGGAAAAATTATAACAATAAACTTTCTACGGTTAATATCGACGACGTAGCGCGCTATGTCCCCGCTCTATTTATCGGGAAATGGCGCTGCAATATAAAGCCAGCGTCAAATCGGGCGTCTTTAAACGTATCAGACGTTGACACTCCCAAGTTTATTGATGTAATATTTCACAGCAAGTCAGTTAAGGTATGAAACTTTGTCAGGTAAAATTCACAACCTAAATGCACATTTGGCAAAAGTAGCTGTTTATGTGCAAACGCCTATTTCTTCGGCCCGTTTTCTATTACTAGAATATAATGTGGGTTCGCTTCAACCAGCAAAATATGGCCGCCAATGCCTATTTACTGAGCAGCCGTGCTAGTCGCTATCCCACTCGCTGGCGTCACGGGCGACAATATCGGGCACAAAGGGGCACACCAACAGAAAGCAGAATCCCCAAATACTCGAGCCGCGCCTAAATACGATAGAGCGTAAACACTGCCGCCATGTTAACCTAGGAAGGCGACATTATTTACGCTCTATAGGTAAGGAAAAGCATGGCGTGTGGTATGAGCCGGATCCTTACACGAGGCGCGAGGTGAGCCCCCAGAACGTGTCTGCTGCCCTGGAGTACTTCACCAAAGACGAGCAACAGTGTTCGCGCCAAAGTCACAACCAGAAGGACGTGATCTCTCACGTTCGACGGGGAAAAAACGTTCGTGCCAAAGTGCTTCCTGACACGCTCAAGGCCTTTCGTGTGTACACAGAGAAGCATCCTGATTCCGGTGTTGGGCTAACTAATGTTTATTTCTTGCGCCCTAGTTGGGTCAAATGTATTCCACACCAGGAAGTGTGCGTTTCTAGGCGCTACGCCAATTATTACCTTTGTATTGCCGTTCTCGAGAATGTTACAGGCTCAACATTCAACACTGGTGAAATGAACTCAGCATTTCTGTGCGACCCACTAACAGGTCTGTGTCTTTAAGGAGACTGATCACTGCCCAAAAGGCCAGTCTCTTACACTCGAGGAACTTCATATCCCAGAGGATGAAGAGATTGTGCTTAAACATAGAATTCCAGCGGCCTCGTAAAACAAAACAAAAAACTATTGGATTTTGAGACTTTCCTAAAAGTCGATAAAGTAACGGTTGAATGTTGGATATTTCACAACCATGTCCTACGAACGCAAGGTAAAGCGATCTACGATGAAATGCAGTGCCTGCAACATGGGAGCTTTGTCTTTCATTTTGACTTTGCTAAAAACTGAACCGTCGCGCTTCCTGACAAAGTTAAAGCATACCACCGAAAAAAAAAAACAAGTTACGATATTTACAGTTGTAGTGACGACAAGAAAATCTACAAACAGCTTTGCTATCATCAGTGAGGACCTTTCTGACGACCCCGCTCAAACGTGCTTGGCTCTAGAAAAAGTGAGAGTGGGTTGAAGACAACGTTGGGGTATACTCGCACGTGACGTACGTAAGTGACAAGGCTGCCAGTCATTTTAAGAATCGCTACCAGCTTCACCAGTTTGCACAGAATGATTGCCGACAAGCCCAGTGGTTATTTTCTGCATCTGCATATGGGAAAATGCATGCGACGGTGTTGGCGGACTTGTGAAGCACCAGGCCACGCTGAACAACCTGAGAGAACGTTCAATAAACGGAATTCAGACGACCAGGACAATGGTGAGCGTTCTATCCGAGAAACTGAATGGCGTGAATCCTGTGTATCTGGACGAATACAGTTATGTTCAGTATTATCAAAAAAAAAAAAAAGCGTGTGGTTGACGGCGTACGCCTTTCCTGGCATTCAGTTTTGGCTTGAGTGGCGGCTGTGCGAGTCATAAACAGAAGGGAACTGTGACATTTATGTAGCACGGACAGTCGGATCTGATTAGAAGAAACTTTATTAAATGTGTACACCGAGAAAAGCCTTAGCGTAAAGTGCCGAATTGGATTCCCCCAGGACTGATCATTTTGAACGCAGGGACATCTTATTTATCACATCTTTCTTCACGGGGTATTTGACCTACTGTTTTACTCGGTGATTGCTTATAACCTTTTTCTGATCACCATACGAGAGTCACGAAACGTTATCCTCACGCAGGATAAAATATCTTGGCTGCCACGATCCATTCGTACACCGAGAGTACCGAAGCTGCTACAGTTCAGCGATGTGGCACCCCTCACCTGAAACGGTTTGTCCTCGGAAATACATAGCCAACCTAAATCATTTTAGTATTCTATCTTTATTTTTGAGTGTTGAAGTAAAGCTATTTATTTTATCCTAAATAAAACATATACCTTAAAGCAAAACTTCACACTTCATCATCTTTTCTCGAATCCCTAGTCTCTAATATGACACCTCTTTGTGCGCTCTATCTAAAATGCTGTTTATAGTTTCTCCTCCCTTTACTGTGTGACCGATTGCGCTAGTTGTCAGGGACCTCCTCTGAATCAAAATATATGAAATATGTGTGTTAGTTTCATGAAACTTGAACTCAGAGTCACTTTTCGTAAAGGGTACTGCTAAGTGTAGACTGAAAAAGGACCCTACTTTGGGGAGTAATGTCTTCTTTGTCAATAAAATAATGCAACATGATTTTAGTGAAAGTGAATGCCGAAATAAAATATGAGTGTGCCTATATAAAAAAAATATCGGAGGTGATGTTTTTTTTTTTAAATTCGCAACAGAATTATTTGTTTTTTTTTCACGTTTTCCCAGTGTTTGACTAAATATATCACGACTATCAATCACTGAGGTACCTAGAATATATCCTAAATAATAGCCATGCATAAGTAGAATATTATTTGAAAAGTATGTGATGCGTGAGTAAATTATTTATTGATATACTGCCCTCCAAAATTGACGTTTGTCGTTCGAGCAGGCATATTTGGCAAGTTTTAGAAAATAAATATAATTTAAATAAATATTACTATATATTACAAGCAACCTGTGCCCACAGTTTGTTTATAAAAAATATCAAAAGTCTCCTAATTTTATCATTTTAGTTATTCACTTTCATACTTTCAAACAAAATTACATAAATCCGCGTTAATGCAAGTGCCCACCTCTTCATGCCTTACAACTTTTGCGTCTACACATTTTTTTCTGGTCTAAACTTAGTATGGATTCGTTTATACCAGGTACTAGACAATGGCATACCAAAATATCAGTTCTTTTAAAAATTTCGACCAGCCACCATTTGGTCGATCTTATCTGAAATCAACCACCTATATTTAGATGAAAAGTGTACATCGTCTACCACTCTTGGACATATGACGAGACCGCCTTAACTACCAAATTTTCCGCAAAATTGTTGCACTGCCCCAGCAGTGTAAGTGTATTGCTATATCACCCTTATGATGTTAGCCCTGAAACAGGCAGATATACAGGGTGTCGACCATATTAAAATTATTCCTTTAGTTCTGACTTGTCATGGGACCCTCTCAGTACTTCAACCCAATTCAGCCCGTCCTTCTCTTCAGCCTTTCAAACGCATTCAACCCTTCAGCTTTTAGAGTTGGTTGGAATTTGAACCCTTGACGCTCAAACGAGTGTGTACCATAGGCCAAAACTTTATGGTATAGATTTTCCTTTGAGGTTTATTTGTAGACACCGTTTTTACATGCATATTGAAACTCAGAAAAACGATAATTATCAACGTGTACTCAAATCCGGGCGCAAGACGCCGCAGACAGAAACGACCAGGTAAAATAGCGACAACTCAGCTCTTTGTCGTCAAAGTATCTATCTTTCGATGTACTCATAACACCGCGGGGCAAATTCCTGGGATGTTTGGTAGAGGTCCTCCTTTAAATTCGAGAGAATATGCGCACACGCACATACACGCACATGCACACACGCGCGCTGGCACACGCACACGAGCTCTCACGCACACACAAGCACATACAAGCACACACGAGCACACAGATACTCTCAGTAACACGTTTAGTTAAAACCAGGAGCGTAACTACCGCCGTTTAAAAAATTTTGAGCACGGTCACAGTGTCGTTCCTGGTGCCGTCACAATGGCGAGCTTCTGGAGTCGGAGTTCACAACGGACGAGCTTCTGGAGTCGAACGGTTCAATTGGCGCCTGAAACAAGGCACTGATACACCTCCTCGTTCATCCGCACTCTGAGCTGATTTAAGAGATAGATCCACGCGATAGATCCATGCGTGAAAGGGAACCGAACCTGAGCGACCGTCCTTTACATTCGCCCGTAGCAGAATAGCCGATAAACTTCCTCGACGCATCTATCCCGAAGGGTCACGCGATTTCTCCTGCAGACCAGTTAGAACTAGTTTGATAGGTCAGACGTTTTTCCGGGAGAGGTCGTCATAGACCCCACAGGGCTCTAAAAAACTATGACGGACCTCCCACACCCTTCGGAAATTCTCACATCTCACTCTTGACAAAAAGCTTTGAATGATACGCCAATACCTTCAGAAGTTCAAGTGGGCCTCACAAACAGATTCTCACATGGGAAACCTTTCGTGTGAACTTCGACCACGCATGTACTGTTGACTTCGGTACCGATAAACTCCGTCCCATCTAATCTAGATGAACCGGACGACAGATTAAGGAAACGATTCTCAAGTGAATCTGAGTTGGTAAAGTAAAAACTTTAAACATACTGGCAAGCAGATGAACTCTTAACAACTTAAAATACAGAGATCTAGAAACAAAACGTACTCATATTTGTGCGTGTGTGGTTTGCCTGTCTTGCTGCTCGTTTTCGGGTTTCCAAGATGTTGAGTCAGCCAGTTTACTCAATTTGAGGCACTCACCTTTTTGCGTAGTTGAAGAGTGTTGATTTAACAGAAGGCGCTGCAGGGCTTTTTGGACCTGCAGG